CTTTTGACGTGCTCTCCTTGATAGAGTTGACGCGCTTTCAGTAGTTAACTTCTTGATCGCGAAGGAGTTCAGATCTGCAGATCTGGTCTCATTGGACGCCGACGGATCGTTATGAGGTGCATCTGTAGCAGCGGTAGTAGGAAGATCACCTTCTTGAGTCCTCAGATCTGAAGACCAACGGATCTTCCGGGAGGAGGAGACCTTCCTGCGCTTGCAAGAAGAGGCGGACCTGGAGGGGGAGGAGGAGGAGACGTACTCCTCGAACTTCTGTTGGTCGAACTCGTATTCGACCTCTTCAGTCACGAGGATCTTGATCATCGGCTGCGGCACGATAGCCTCGTTGAAGAGACTGTTGGCTCCTACTGTGGTCGCCAGCTTGTTTGGGGAGAAAGTTAATGATTTTATTGCTGTGTTCATTACAACTTCAAACGTTACAATGAAAATACAAAAAGATAGTCTTTTTATAAGACTCTTACACAATGAAAATACAATTCTCGTCAAAATAAACGCAGAGATCGTTTTATCGGTCTTCTGCTTGCGTGAGATCTTGACATGTGACGGGGACGTTGATATCCGTGGACCACCAAACGATCAGATTAGATCCGGAGCTTCGTTGATTCGCGAAGGAATCAAGAAACCGAAGCAATTATCTTGGCAACAGCGAGATAACCACTCTTCTCGAGATCACCGCAACGGGGCAATCTCAAGGAAAAGAACCGGGTTGCAGATCTATCGAACTCTCATTCTTTATGCCCAAGAATTCACTGAAGTCTCCTCCTCCTCTTTGAAATTCGTGGATCTTCAGTCTCCAATTTAGCAGGGCTTCGCCAACGCTCGAGAATTCCAGATCTGAAAAAATAAAGGCCCTGGGGCTGTATTTATAGGCTTCGGGAGCCCTGTTTTCGGATAAGAACGGCCAATTCCCTCTTATCCTCAGTTGTAACCACTTAATCATGTTCATAGATGATATTTTATCAGTTAGAGCAAATCCAGGAGGTTAACGGTCGAAAAACCGCCAAAAACAGCCAAATCTGATTTTCGGGTCTGTAGACACCCGTGGGTGTCTCGGCCAAGATAAGACACCTTAGGGTGTCTCAGGTTGGTCGAGACACCTTGGAGTGTCTCGGCCAAGCCGAGACACCTTTGGGTGTCTCGGGTTGGCCGAGACATCAAAGATGTGTCTTGACTTTGGCTTAGGACTCGGTCTGCGCGTTCCGTCCGTTTTTATCGTATTTTCATCATCCGAAGTCAGAATCGCGCGATATAGAATGCGTCAGAAAGCCGACGAGGATATCTACAAGCTCCCATGATTGAATCATATGTGGAGTAAATGGGACACGGGGGGCGCTTCGTCTTTCGTAAGCGACGTGCAGCTCTCGGTTCATTCGTGTTTCCGTTATTCCGAAATTTCGTTGCTTCGCATGGTCCGTCGACTCACTTCATACATTTGTCATCGTCAAATGAGCTTCTGTGACTCGAATAACGATGTTCATCGTCTTCTCTCTATCTCGAGTCGCGTACGGGGGACTATAGACAATTTTTGACGCCTACACTCTCGTTCCTGGGAAGAATTGAGAAAGGATTTTAGTATTGGCCCTGACTGTCTGAAGGTTTGACCGAGTGGGAGTTTGAAACGACCCTAACTTTATGATGGTTTGATCGTTCAAGTTTGAAGGTAGTAGAAACAATAAGAATGGTTCTGATCGCCAATGTTTCCTTAATAAGGACAATGTGGGAAGATGTATGGGTTTAACCAAGAAAGAAGGAAAGAATATATTTTATTATCTTTTACTTTTTTGATAACTAATGAATTTGATTTGATGGTCCCACTATCAATTGATTGATCAGTGAGGGATTTTGTAATGGAAGACTATAAATTGTCGAACGCTCAACAATTTTACAGTAAGAGTTTTATTGGGGAAATCCAATTAGATGGAATCATCAAATTTCAGTCCTAATGAAGGAGTTATCAGAGAACCAAAGTGGGAATGTTGATAAAGTAATCCTAGCCATTGGAAATAACCAAGGACAGTGGATGAAGAAAGGTAGGTATTTTCTAATCTTTCGCTTCACGAGGGGATTCTAGTTATCATCTCAATAATGATTAAGAAAAACTATTTAGATGGTTGGATTCTATTTTAAATAGTTAATTGATGCCTGGTTACCCTTAAGAATACTATGTATAGTATTCTCCAGGAACTTCCCTGTAGGCTGTCAAAAAATCACAATAGATAGCTGATCCCCATCAAAACACCGATGATGGAAGTTACACACTGACGACTTCCAGAAGGTTATAATTTGAAGACTTTTACATAGACTGATGAATGTTATAATCTGACGACCTTTGCAACAACTGATAAAAGCTCTAATCAACAGCCTCCACAATCAACATCGGGAGTTACAATCTGACGACTCTCACATATCAAAGAGCTAAAGCAAAGATTACAAAACGACGATCTTTATAATATTTTGACAGAAAGAGACTACAAATCGACGGTCTCTTCAAACCAAGACGTGGAAGTCCTCCCCGCGTACCAGCATCAAGACGCACCGCATTCATAGCCACGAACGCAGCTCAGACGCAGCTTCTAATGCTTCCAACGCAGCTTCCAAATCGCTGCAAACACAGCTCAGACGCAGCTTCCAACGCTGCCAACGCAGCTTCCATATCGCTGCAAACGCAGCTCAGACGCAGCTTCCAACGCTGCCAACGCAGCTTCCAAATCGCTGCCAACCCAGCTCATGTTCGGCCGCAAACGCAGCTCATGTTCGGCCGCAAACGCAGCATCTAACTGCTGCCAACGCAGCTTTTAACAGCTACCAACGCAGGTTCCATCTGCTGCCCAACGCAGCTCGCAAACACTACGTTCAAACGCAGATTTCATTCCAGAATGCAGGATTTGCGTTTGACTCGTTCAAACATCAGCTGAACGGTTTCAAAACCGTTTCCCATGATCTGAGGGGATCACAACTCCACTCAGGAGTGATTTAAGGGGCGGTTACATCCCATTAGCCCCACTTAGGAGCAAATTAAGGAGGTGGTTACACCCCTTAATCCCCTATAAATAACTAAAAATCAATTCAGTTCAGGGGTTCGGTCAGTTGGAACTTCTTGGCAGCAACAGAAGAGATCCTTGGGCTGGCTTTTGGATCCTTCTCCTTGGCAGCAAAGAAGAGATCTTCGGCTTGTCTAACCAATTACAGTTAATATCAATCAACTCATCAAGAGTTTTAAAACTTGCCACGCAAGTTCTCCATAACGTCAAATCGTGAGGAGAAGATCATGTTCCAGTGAAACAAGACGTCGGATCGTCAACGAGAAGCAAACTCGACGCGAGCATTCGAGGGAGGCATCTCATCGCCCCCGTGAAGAACCCAGAATTAAACAAAGGGGAGAATCCAGATCATTCTCTTCTCTTTTGTAATCAGGAAATCCAATTGTAATTGAGATTAAAGGAATACAAATCAATTTTCCTTCATTTCTTTTTACTGTAAATTTTCCACAAACATTCCCGTCGGTGGGTATTGCTGCTATCATTAATACAGAATTATATATACAATATGTACAATAATTCAAGTTGTATGCATCAAATTTATTTTTAATTGGTTATCTTGAATGTACTAAGGGTAATACTTTTTCAGGAACTTCCTATTAATTGGCATCATTATCTTGTCACCGTCTTGGGTGATCAAGTAATATGTTCCGTTCGAGTAGACTGTATCTACTACAAACGGTCCTTCCCATTTGGGTTAGAACTTGCCTTTCTTTTTTGAGTTGAGAATCATTAGTCAACAAACGGTAAGTACCAAGTCTCCCTCTTTAAAGACCATTTGTCGGACCTTTTTGTCAAAGGCTTTGGAGATTCTAGCTTGGTATAACTCAATTTGTTGTTGAGCTTCCAAGATTTTCTCATCTAACATCTCGATTTCTTCGAGACGTTTTTGATGTTGCTCTTCCTTCGTCATCCCTGTTGCAAGAGCGATGCGAAGGGATGAAATTTGAATCTCCAATAAAAGGACAGCCTTGCACTCATACACTAAAGAATATGAAGTTGTTCCGGTAGATGTGCGGACTGTGGTACGATAGCCCAAAGAGCCTTACCAAGTTTGTTATCCCAATCTCGCTTATTGGTTTTTATTAGCTTCGTCAAGATCTTGATGATGGTCTTGTTGAAGGCTTCAGCTAAACCATTTATAGTGGGATTGTAATATGTTGAGACGTCTTGAATTCTGAACTTTCCACAGAATTTGATGAATGCGTTACTGACAAACTAAGAGCCGTTGTCATGCACGATTTGTATTGGAACACCGTATCGGTAGATGATATGGTGTTTAATGAACTTAATGACGTCACTTGTCTTTACTTCTCTGAGTGGAATTGCTTCAGCCTACTTAGAAAATTAGTCAGTGATAACCAAAATAAAACAGTCGCCTTTGATGGAGGAAAAATATGACCAACAACGTCCATTCCCCAGGTCTCAAATGACCAGTATGTCGTTGAAGGGTGCAGGTGCTCCGATGGTTGATGCATGTAGTTTGCATGTATCTAGCATGCGTGGCATCGTCGTGCATAAGCGATTGCGTCCTTGACCATAGTTGGCCAATAATAACCCAGTCTTCTGAGGTGATCACATAGTTTGGGACTCGGTTGGTGTACATCACAAGTTCCGTCATGCGCTTTCTTGAGGGTTTCTTCTGCCTCATTGGTTAAAAGACATCAGAGCAACAAACCATCATATGTATGATGATAGAACGTTTGAGTTGATGTATTGTAATAAAATATTGATGCTCTTCGTCGGATTGAGTCTCTTTCTTTTATGTCTTTCGTCAAAATGCCGTGTAAGTCATAATCGATAATAGGGAAATGCCCGTCTCGAGGTCTAGTTTGATTCTAGTTGTGTGCACCTCCTTGATGTCTAGGGCACAGTCTGGTATGAAAAGCTAATGAGTTCTCACAGTAACCAGTTGTTCTGTCTCAGGAGACTGTGCTAAAGAGACTATCAATGCCGCAGTGCATCTGTGTAAGTATCCTGGAGGCGCGGGATGTACTCGATGAAGAAGTCCTCAAATGATTTCGCCATTTCAATAACCGCTTTATGGTATGAGATCAAGTTTTGATTCCTGACTTCGTATTCATCCCGAACTTGGTTGATTATTAGCTGGGAATCACCAAAGGCTTCAAGGTACTCCACCTCTAGCTTTTTGGCGAAACTGAGTCCAATGAGAAGCACATTATATTCAGCCACGTTGTTGGAGCATGGTCCGATCAGTGAATAGGCTCGAGGTATCACATGTTTCTCTGTGGAAACTAGGACAGCTCCGACGCCTGAAGAAATCTTTGAACGTTCAGGAGTGCTTGCCATATGAGCAGCTCGGGAGGCACCGTCAAAATACAACTATCATACCTGCTGATGAGAGGTAGTATTGACTTCGTGGGTTTCATCCGGCAAATCTTCATATAGTTCACCTTTATCTTTCCTAGGGTAAACCACTAAAAGATTACAAATTGCCTACCCTTTGACCGACTTCTGTTGTTTAAAGTGATTATCGTACTGTGATAGAAGCAAAGTCTATCTTGCTAACCGTCAAATCATAGAAGCCGATTGTTGACGTTGGAAATAACGTAAATTTTCTGTCCAACCAAATAGTGTTGTATTTTTTAAATTGTAAACACCATAGCTAGGCACTCCTTCTAAATCATTGGATATTGAGATTCAGCACCTAACAATGTTCTGCTCAAATAATAAATTTCATGCTCGTAACCGTTGTCATCGTCTTGTGCTAGTAGAGCACTCAACGAGTGGTTCATCACCTTGACATAAATTAGGAACGGTTTCCCTGACTTCGGTGCGTCGAGGACAAGAGTATTTGATAGGTATGCCTTAATGTCTTCAAATGCTTTCTGACAAGCATCGTCCCAAACAAATGACACACCTTTCTTTGTGAGCTTGGAGAATAATTGACATTTTCCTGTAAGGTTCGTAATGAATCGGCGAATATACGCTTGTCGTCCTTGTAACCCTCTGAGTTCCTTAAGAGTTCTCGGAGGCTGCAATTCATGGATCGCTTTCACTTTATTAGGATCAATGTGGATACCTTTTGTTGTGACGACGAACCCGATGAATTTGCCACTGGACATTTCCAGGAAAGACTTGGTACGATTCATCTTCAATTGGTGACTTCACATGAGATCAAACATTGTCCTCAAATCTTTAATGTGGTCATTTTTGTTGTGGTTTTTAACGACCAAATCATCAACATAGCATTCGACGGTTTTCTGAAGATGTCCTTGAAAAATCTTTGTCATGGCTCGTTGATATGTAGCACCCGCATTCTTTAAACCAAAGGGCATAACTGTGTAGCAGAAGATACCAAGCGGTGTTCTGAATGAGGTGTGTTTTTCATCATCTGGATACATTTTAATTTGATTGTACCCCAAGAATCCATCAATGAATGACATTCTCTCAAACCCACATGTGTTGTCTCTGACGAAGTCTGTGATGGGAAGAGGAAAGTCATATTTCGAGCAGGCGGTATTCAAATCTCTGAAATCAATGCACATTCTGATTTTTCCTATTCTTTTTAAGAACCAAAACAATATTTGCCACCTAATCCGGATGTTGCTCTTCTTTAAGGAAGCCTGAGTCAATCAATTTTTTAACCTCAGCTTCAATCGACTCCATGATTTACGAATGAAACCGTCTTTGTTGTTGCTTAACAGGTTTGACATCTGGCTTAATGTTGAGTCAATGCATAGCCATATTTAGATCGAGTCATGGCATGTCCTCATAATTCCATGCAAAGACATCGATATATTCTCTAATGAGGGTAATCAATTCCTCTTTTTCTTATGGTGGAAGACTATCGCTGATGAATATGGGTTTCGGATTTGCTTCGTCGCCCATATTTATTTGAGCCACCTTATCCTCAATAGGATGTTCCCTTTGCTCGAATCTATTACCATACTGGATGTTTAAGTGATTGATCTAAGGATATTCCCAGACTGGTAACTGATCATCTTCCTCAGCTTTTGTAGGATCAACAATGACCATAATATCAGCATTTACATGAAGCTAAGAAATTGCAGAAGGAAGAGGTGACCCAAAAACCACCAAAACTACGCAAAGTATGGAGGGCAAAGGTAAAAATAGCGTCCGAAATTTTTGAAAAACGCGAACTACCAGCTGTTGGCTCGGCCAAAACTGAGCCACCAAATGCTAGCTTAGCAAAGGCCGAGCCACCAAATGCTGGCCGCGCTAAGTCCGAGCCACCAAAGCTCGCCTTGCACCTGGTTCACCTCCCGCGCCTATTTTTGAGTTTCCGACAGCCCCTGTTCCTGTCTCGATCATAGATCATCTCGGTCCTTTGCACGAGATTCGAGGCAAACCCTCGGTTAAATAGCGTTTAGGTCCGATGAATTAACCCCGAGTGATTCGTCAGACTGGGGGTTGTACGCATCCTCCCAACAAGTCAAGGACCTCTCATGTTGAGAAAGTACATATAACCACTCGCCTCGGATTGCGAGTTGAAGTCCAAAAGCCCGTTGAGGCCTCGCGCTCACGAAGGCGTGGCTCAAAACGAGTGACTCTTGAGAACTCCAACGATGCGTTATATCCCCAAAGAGAAGCGTGTTCGTCAGAAGATGATGACGTTAGACCTGGGAAATCATGCCAGCACATGATAGGTTGCTCCGGTAATCATGCCGATGAGTTGTACTATCGGGCTGGGGGTACGAACGAATCTCAAAAGAGAAGTACCGGGGAAATGGATTCTCACTATCCGTGTACCAAGCTTATTAGGACAGTATTATTAGAGTGTAGCTGTAAAATCCCGTAAATTTGAATATTTTATGATAAATAATAATAAATATGTTATATAGTGAAAAATAACATATTTTGATGTTTGAGTATGATAAGAATTGATTTGAGATCAATAAATATGTTATATAGTGAAAAATAACATATTTTGATGTTTGAGTATGATAAGAATTGATTTGAGATCAATTCAATGTATATTTGTGAAAATATGAGTGCAAATGCACAAAACATGCACAAAGGATAAAAGAGTGAAAATCTGGGAATAATGACCAGGTATGAGTTTCACCAGGTATGAGTTTCACCAGGTATGAGTTTCTATGTTTTGTATACTGATTCAGTCAGAATCTGGAAAAGTATAAAAGATCAAAGTTGTAGATCTCTTCAACATATTTCTAACAAATCTTAGATCACCTCATTCCGAGATCGAATGAGAAAGTTACAGCCAAAATACTGAAGGTTATTTTCCTAGTCAGACTAGGTTTCCTCGTTCGGGTCAAACAGGTTTGTTTCGGATTTGCCTCTATAAATACCTATGTTTTTCATAAAAATTCCTTTCTTTTATCATATATATGAACTCTAGCAGCCACCCTTTCCCCTCAAAAACCCTAGATCTTTTTCTTATGAGTTTGGAGAGCTTTGTGAAGCAAAACACCGACACGAGGGCGAGATCATCGACGTGTGGTGAGGGTGAACGAGTTGTTTATGCTCCGGGATTGCTTGCTTTTTTTCAGAGGCTTGCACATGATATTAAGGCAAAATCACTTACATCCAAACACAAAAAATAGGGATTGCTCCCCCTATCAAAATACCTTAAGGAATATATGCAATGGTGACCAAGACAAATATATGTGAGCAAGCATGAATAAAAAATATGCTAAACACCATTCACATACAAAAATACAATGAGGACACATAATGATATGTCATTATAAAATAGTGTCTCAAGGCATAAACATAAAAACCATATATGAATAGATTTATGAAAACAAAGAATGAAAAACATAAGAATCACGAAAAAAGTTTTCAAATGAAAACAAATCAAACAAATGAATTCATAAATCAAATGAAATTAATATCAATTTTTGTCATATTCAACAAAAGAACAAGAGAGGTAACAATATCTAACTCTTGAGCTAGTTCCAGCCCATATAAAGACTTTTAGTACCCGGTAAACACTATTTGGGAAATAAACTCCCAATAAATCGTGAGTTGCTCAAATACAAACCTCTCACCAAAATCAAAGTCAATAAAATGAAAACAAAAGAATTGACTTAAGAAAAACATGTTTTATTTTTCAAAAAATTTAAAGCATATTTTTCAAAACCAAGAAAAGGAAAAAGAAAAACACTAAAATTCTTAGTTTAAAAATTAAATTTGTTTTGATACCCAAGTATTCTTGGTACCAAAGGATTTAGGGACATGACCCCTATTATGAAAGCTTAATGCCCTAAGGTAATGATCCCTTTTGGGCGCATTTGGTGCACGGGTCCGGTCATAATAATATTTTTAGATACTAATAGGTTTCTTATTAGTGCTCTATAAAATATCAGTGAACTTGTAACCGATATTTGTTAGCGCAACCTTCCTTCCATGGATTTGGATCTTGTAACCGATGTGATTCATGATCCTTAGGTGAGAAAAGAATCTAATCTCATAGTTAATTATTGGATCCTCTTTGACTTCACCTAGATTAGGGTTTGTACTTTTTGAAAAACTGATTTTTTTTTTCCAAAATTCCCATGTTTCACAATCCACGTTTCAGATGAAAATCTTCCCATGAAAAACTGTACATAATGGAAAACTTCCCACGTTTTCAGATTAATCCAATAAGCCAAACACTAAAAATTATTTGTTTAGTACTAAATGAACTATCGAATCGAACTTATTCGAATATCTGTAAGAATAATAACCGAACTGCTTATTAATTATTCGGTTCACTTCCACCACTATACTTCATATCTAAAGCACAATACTTTATTTTGGTAGCATCTTCAATATTTACAGAAAACCTTTTAGAAACCGTGCTTTGCACGGGTCCAGATACTTAGTTGTGGAAATAAGAAAATATTTGAGATCATGGATAAATTATTGTAGGGTTGAGGGCCTTGAGGCCCAACCAGCCCGTCCCCAGAAGCCCAAAAGGCAAGGAGATATTTTGAATTTTGAATACCCGTTGAGCGGGATGCGAATTTGCGCGGAAAAAAGCCGTTCTATGGGGGGTGGCAGTTTGCCAAAAAAAGAAAGAACACGCGTTTGGAGACAGCTGGCAAAAAAACTATATAATTATCCATAAACGGAAAGCAAACGGTCAAATGTACTACCGAAATATGCTCCTTCCTCCTACTCTACACCATAAAAACTCCTTCCTTCCTCCAAGCCTTCCTCTATCCGATCTATCTTTTCCGCTGAGTAGATGGAGGATAGGAGAAGAGATCGATCTCAGGGGGTGCTCGCGCATCAAAAGGTGATGTTTTTACAGGATTGCATCCCAATTAGATATAGATACAATTAGATACAGATAAATAGCGAAGCAGATATAAAGTTAATGCATTTAACTTCTAAAACACTTTCATTGTCGCTATCTTTAGCCAAACTTCATATTTTAACAACAGCTCGTTACTAAAATAATCTGAAATGTCACTGCATTTTCGCCCTTTGCCTACATTTCAACCTTTTCTTTTCACTGAAAGCACATCATTGCTTAAGAAATATTCACAGATTGATCTGGAAAGGGGTGGATTCTCTATAACATACAACAATAAGAATAAAAGAAAAATTTGAGCAGTATGATATAACGTGCGTGTATTTAATAGTATGAAAAAAACTTGAAAGTTTACCTTCAAGCTTACTTGCACTTGTCAAACTCCTCTAAAGATGAGTGTTCTGCTGTTCATCCTAGCATGATTCTTGTCCATTCGATCCATACTAACAATTTTCTTTTCACTACAAGGTGATCGGTCACTCAATTGAAGTTAGGAAAGTCTGGAGTTTGAAACAAAGGATTTGGTGATGAACCTCCACCTTGTTGCCCCGAAGTATGAAGATACTTACCAGGTACTGATGTCAAGTATTAGTTAAGTCATAATGTGAAAGCTAATTGAATGCATGTTATATGGATGCCGTAATTTAATGGGTATTTTTGATTTTTTATCTTGTTTATCTTTCTTGTCCGCTTCTCAAGATCTAATTAACATCGTGTGCTTCTTGTTTTGTAGCAGGGGACGACAGAAAAAACACTTCAATTTGTAGTTTATTTCCTCTCTCTCCATATTGATTTTGTTTTGAGCTATCTCCTACAGACCTCACTTCCCTTTACCTTACCTTTGCCCCTAAAAACTAGCAAATCACTTTAGATTTTCATCCTTTCCTTTACTTTACTTCCTCCTCTACCAAACCAAAGTGGTTTGCAGCTCAACTCTCGGTATATATAATATGAATGAAATGGGCTAAAATCCACTTAAGTGGACAATAGCTATCGTGCATTGAACTTTTTTTTTTATTCATTGATTTTGCGTTGAGTTTCATGCTAGTTTGTGATACACGCAAGTTACTTATATCTAGTATATCGTAGGTCATCCCTCTCATGTCTGTGTAACTATTAGTGCATACTGTATCATTAATGGTCTGTCTTTGACATCAATCTACTGCATCATTTTCAGTCTGTCTTTGACATCTTTCTCTTGTGTTG